ATTGAGGAGAGGCTCCTCCACTTCGCTCTCTCCACTTGAAGGAGTCTCTGGAAGTTCTGAAGGCCCTGGCTAAGTCTCTGCCTCTGGCACCACATCTTCTTCAGCCTCCTCGCTGGCCAACGCGAGCGCCAGCTGCGCAGGCTGCTGGCGCAACCCCACACCAGCCTCCTCGTTGTTGGGATCAGCCATGATCCACGCAGGCCGCTGGCAGGCCACAACAGCAGGTTCTGAAGAACCAGTACAGAAATGTTGAGTAGTTCGGAGAACCAGCAAATACCACCTCTGGCTGGCCCCAGAATGGGGTGGGAAGGGAGTTTTTGCAATATCCTTCCCCCAGGAGTGGGGAGGGAATGGGGATTTTGTAGTATCCTTCCCCTGGAGGAGGGAGGGAATGGAGTTTTTGCAGTATTCTTCCCCTGCCATGCCCACCAAGCCACGCCCACAGAACCGGTAGTAAAAAAACATTGAATTCCACCACTGCTCCAAGGTCCCTTCCAACTCTTTGTTACTGTTACTGACTTTGCTTAGCCGCCTAAGTGTTGCCTTTTATAAGGCTGAACTTTGATGGCATAACTTGGGCTTTCAGGATTGTTTCTCAGGCACCTCCTGCCTTTATTCCCACCTTATTTTTTGGGAAGAGAACACCACCGATGAAAATCACAATTTCGGTAGTATAATTTCAGGAGCTGGAGGGCTGCCAACAGGGTGATGATGGTCTGCTGACTCCTGATTAAAAGCAAACAAAGCCCAGGCCAGCTGGAATTGCAAGAAAGTGGGCTATAACTTGCACAAATAAATAAATTACTCAAAATGTAGGGCAAAAGTGGAGTGCCGGGGAAGAAATGACGAATTGAAGGTGGCTCTGCTAAAAGCAAAGCTGACAACCATAGCAGAATGAAGAGCTGGTTCTTCCTAATTCCTCTCCAGATAAAGAGAGAACTTGAGATCTCCCGTGTTTCAGACAGTTGCTTCTTGCAAGGAGACAGCAAGACAATGGTTTCCAGCCGGTTTAGAACACTGGGAAACAAGGGCAAGCAGTTTTCGCTCAAATGGCAGTCAGAACCTTTATGGACACTGGGTTTGCTTATTTCCTTTTATAATCACTTCTGGAAATTACTAGTTAATGGCTTTTCTATTATTAGAAACCTTTGGATCAACAGCTTTTAAAGCAGCACGTGTTTCCTTTAAACTTTGGCTAAAGAAGTTTTGAATAGAATAGAATGGAATGGAATGGAATAGAATAGAAATCCAGGAGAACTGGTAGTGGAAATTTTGAGTAGTTCAGAGAACCAGCAAATACTACCTCTGGCTGGCCCCAGAGCAGGGAGGGAATGGGGATTTTGCAGTATCCTTCCCCCGCCATGCCCACCAAGGCATGCCCACCAAGCCACACCACACCACGCCCACCAAGCCATACCCAGAGAACCGGTAGTAAAATAATTTGAATTTCACCATTGCCTGAGATTGATCTGAAAAGTGGATTTAAAAATTACAGGCTATAATATGGATATGGGAAAAAATGTTACACTAGCTGATGTCTTAATAATTAAAAAGGATATACAAATAACAAACAAAAAAAGTGACTTGGATAACTTTCCTATACTGGATTTACAAACGAGATCTATTCAAGCTTTTAAGAATTTTGTGAAAAGGCACAAAGAAAAAATGAAAACAAATCAAATTCTATGATATTATTTGAAGGACGTAAATTGAAGGATATTAGTTGAAGGGATTAAAGATCAAGATTGTTAAAAGGAAGGAATATAAAGTTTATTTATTTGATCAAGGTTAAAATAGATATGTTGTTATCTCTAGTGACTCTTAATGGACTTTGCTAATCAGGACGAGGCTCTAAGGATTTGTTTACAGATAAGAGATGACATATGGGAAAAAGATCATTTGTTGTATTTTAAGAAATGAGAAGTTACTAAAATTGTTTATCCTTGTTATGATGGAGTCATTTCTTTACATATCTATTTTTTACTATGTTTTTTCTTTTCCATACTTTCTAATTTTTATTTGTTTAGCTTATACTCATTTTTATCTTTTAAATTGTAATGTTTAATAAAATTACTATTAAAATAATGTACAGCAGAAGTAAAATGAGACATAGAATAGAGCATAAAAATGTTTTTGTCATTAAAGGTAAGATCTTAAAAATCAATCCACCAGCTGAGATAGTGAGAAGCACAAGTTGAGATTACAGTATATAACTTATTTTTCCACCTTGCTGCCGGGCTTCTGTATTTTATTGTGAAAGAACGGACAACCTTTTGACTATTTGTTGATTAACATCTCAAAAGGCAAATAAAATAGCTTGAGTATATTAAATACCTGAAGTCTGAGTAATCATGGTAGACTTCAAGAGTAATTGGTAAGGTCTGCAGAATTGCACTTCTCCTAATGAAACCTGGCCAAGAGAAATGCACGTGTCTGGGAAAGGAAGATAATGAGACAATGATAGAGAATGGGGTGAGAAATGACAAGCATGGGAAGGCAGGTTTAATGGGGGGTTATGGCGAAGGGTTTCAGGACAAAGATGGAAGAGTGGAGTTCGGGCTAGAACATGAATGAGAAAAGAGGACCTGAGGAAGAAAACAAGAAAGCAGAGAATTATATGAGAAACAAGGGAAATTACATCTGTATATGGCATATTCATTTCAGGACAGTTTCATCTTGAAATCTAGAAATGAAAGGAAAACTATTATGAGGAAAGAAAATATAAGTACCGTGTTTCCCCCAAAATAAGACCGGGTCTTATATTAATTTTTGCTCCAAAAGACGTATTATGGCTTATTTTCCGGTTAGGTCTTATTTTGGGGAAAATACAGCACTAAACGCCTCCGTCTGCTGACGATCTTAACTGGGGCTTATTTTTGGGGTAGGATTAGGGCTTATATTACGAGCATCCTGAAAAATCATGCAAGGGCTTATTTTCCGGTTGGGTCTTATTTTCAGGGAAACAGGGTAGGTTATAGGTTCAAGGTAAGAGAAGGTGAGAATAAGAAATAGATGAACCCTAGAATCTTGAGCAGGATTAAGGTTTTACAAGAGAGGGGTAAGATTAAGAGCATAATTTTGGGTTAGCAATTTAAGAGCAGCATCTTTGTGTAGTGAAGGAAGCTGCTTTGAAGGCTGGGAATTAAAATAAGTGACAATGGAGGTCCATGGGAACCTGGGGAAAGAATCATTCTCCTCCCGCCCTGCCCCCCAGACTATAACCTACTGATTCCATGAGTGTTACTACTAAGTGTATAGACATGGCTAATAGTCTGTAACAATCATTTGGGTTATTATCACATGATACTTTGCACATTTAAGTGAAATTAGAATGACACCAGACAACCTGCGATTCATCTTTTGAGAGATATTTCCTTATCTAACATAGACACAGAAAGACCACAAGAAAAAAAACAAAACCAGTGGTCGCAGGAGTGACTTCCAATTTTCTGCTGGCTTCCACATTGCCTTTGTCAGAAATCATGATAACACGACCACAGCAATTTCAGCAGTGTTGCAGTGCTCACCCGTTTGCCAAAACAACTGGTGTGAAGTTGCTGTCAGTTGTATAGGTGCAGGGGCCACAGAGGTGGGGGTGCCACACAACCTACAGGTTACGGTGAGGTGTAGGGAAGATGGCCCTGAAACAGCCACAATTTCCCCAAATTTCATTCCCATGGGAGTCATGAGTCCATGTAATCTGTAAATTAGTCCATTTGAGTTACCTTGCTTCAATAATGTATGCCCTATTATCTTCACATTTTGTCCAACTGAAGGTTACAGGAACAATATTTTAGCAGTAAAAAGATTATTCTATGCAATTCTGAAATCAGTTTGTTTTTCTCTTCTCTATTAATTTTTTAAAACAGAAATAACTGACTAGTATATCTTTTTAATTTAATTTGCATTTAAGCCCAGGAAAAGCCTCCTAGGTATTCAATCTGACTTCTGATGACTTCCTAATACAGAAAGTTTGCCATTTGCCTTCTGGATTTTTTATTTTTCAGCTCCCTTCCTAATTTATTGTCTTTTTAAAAATTTTTTCCTGGAATTCTCCATCCATATACTAAGCAGATCTGGCTGCTTAGGGGTTAAGTTATCAGTCAAGGTCATCTAAATGTTGCCGGGTGGCTTTCAAAAAGGGGCCTAAAATAAAAACCCAAATATGAATCTCTGTACTTAATCATATTCCCAATCCTTCTCAAAATTAAAGAACTTTACTTTAGGTTCAGTGAAACCATGAAAACAGCCCACCTCATTTGAAGAGCCGAACCCGCGCTTATGGCTGTTTATTGGCTAATAAACTTGGCTACTTTTGCCTCAGCAAGGGTCACTATCCCCTTCCCAACTTTCGCTTCCCAACAACTCGCCACGGAGACGACTCTGCATTTCAGGCTGGCTGGCTGAACCGTTTAGCCTTTGTATTTCGACGGCAAGATGAACGACGGCGACAAAATCAGCAAAAAACAAAACAAAACCCAACAACCCTCCCTTGGCGTTTAAGGTAGCGCTTTGCCTTTTTTTTTTTTTTTTTTTGCCTTCTCTCCGGGTGCGATGCACCGCGGGAGAATCGGGAGTCTCAAAATACGCCTTTGGCACAAAGCGCCCGCCGGGGAAAATCTCCTTTTCCTGCTAGCTTCCCGCTCCCTTTCTTTCTTTTCTTTTTTTCCACGCCTGGAATTCGGGGATCGTCGAGAGCTTTTCGGAAGACTCCGCGCTCCTCCGACCTCTCCTGGTCTACTGAAGAGGCGCCGCTTTCTCCTTTCCCGGAGGCCCCCAGCAAATAGTTGCGCGGGGAGCGAGGCGAAGAGGGCGCTCGCAGAAAGCATCCTCCGCTGAGCCTCAAGGACCTCCCCGTTCCCTGGGGTCGGGGGGGGGGGGGTTTCGCCCCTCTCTCTCCCGCCTAAGTCTTCCCTCGGCAGCCACCCAGCCGCCGTCAAGAGCACACCCTTTCTCCTCCCCCTCCCCGGCTTCCCTTGCGCTCTCGGCACGCACGCACCGACGGAGGGAAGTGAATGGGGAATCAAGAGGCTGGAGTGCGCGGCAAGTGGCTGCTCCTTACAAATGAGCCTCCAGGCAGCTTTATCTCCCCACCCTCTCCCGGCCGAAAGAGGAGGGGCGGCGAAATGTGGCCGCTCGCTGCGTCGGAGGAGAAGAGGGGAGGAGGGGATTTGTGGGGGGGGGGGAGAGAAGAGGAGCAGTGGCCCGTGCGCGCCTCTTGTTCCCGGTGTGATTTGCAGCCAATCATCAGTAGGTGTCCACATCCCCGCATCCTCCTCACCTCCTCGGCGCTGCGGAGCCTTCTCACTCCTCGCACCCCCCCCACCTCCCCCGTTCCCCTCCGCCTCCTCGCTTCCTTCCCCTCCTCCTGCAACCACACACACGCAGGCACGCACAAACAGCGAGGGGGAGAGCGAGTCCCCCCGGCTGCCACCCTCCCTCCATCGCACACAGCGACAGGAGAGACGGACGGAGCGCAGCGCGCAGGGAGAGACCACCGAGCACCGCCGCCGCCGCCAAGCGCTCTCACACATTCATGCGCGCACACACACACACACACACTCACCCACACATTCAGTGCCTGCTCTTCCCTCTTCCCCCTCCCTTCCCTCCGCCTTTCTCTGCAACCAGAAAAAAAGAGGCACTTACAGGTATTTGCTTAGTGGATCGGAGTCTTTATTTCTTTCCCACCAAGCCTCCCCACCCCCAACCCGCATCACCGCCCTGTACAGTTTGTTTACAAGTATCAAAGTTGTAATTGAGGAGCGGCCAAAGAAAGACACCTCGGGATATTTTTCTTTTCTGTGTGTTTTTTTTTTTTACCCTCTCCTTTGTGTTAGGGAGTGATGTGCAACTAAATAAAGACAAGCAGGCGGGTTAAACGTCTTGCAAATCCAAGCCCCCAGTCCCCCCCAAAACACAGAGACTGGTAAGTGATTGTTTTTGGTTCTTTCTTTCTTCCTTCCTTTCTCTCTTCCCCCTTCCCCCCTTCATGCGCGCTCTTTCGCTCCCTCTCTTTTCCGCCTCTTGGACCGCTGGGATTGTTAAAGTAGATGAATGCTAAGCTTCAGCAATAAAAGGCGCTGCTCTATTAATTTATTAATTAATCTGCACCAGCCCCTCCTCCTGAATGTTAAATATGACCTTTGATCTCTCTGTCTGTAGCAGAACAGAAATGCAGTATTGAACATGAACAGTCACATTGATTTAAACAGTGAGAGAATCGTGGATTCTGAGCTGCTTTTAATTTTCTTTTTAATCTGGCTATAGTTTTAATATTGAAAAAAAAAAATCAATAGCTGCGCTTTAGACTTCTCTCGCGCTCCAGAGATAACATCGATTAAACAATAATGACATGGTTGGTGGCACCATTATATTTTTTCCCCCTCGTTTCTGGTAGCCATAAACCTAAGGAGATTTGGCGGCGGTGGGGGGTGGGCTGCTGGGGTGAGAGAAGAGGTTGGAATTGTAGGAAAGAGGTTTGTGAAAGCAAAGCCACTTTAAGGCTGTGAAAAATAGAGCATGAACGTGCAGTCTCCATAGCCTGCCCCCCCCCTTTACATTCAACATTAGAACCTTTTACCAATCCAGCACTTTATCTAACCCTTAACCAACAAAGCGACTTCTATTAAATACTTGCTATAGTTTCCTTTAAAATAGTGGGTTTTTTTTTAAAGTATTCTATTATGCATGGTGACCTGCAATCCTGTTTGTGTGTGGGAATAGTAGGATTTGCCACCAAATCCCTCCAGGGAGCAATGTTTTTTTTTTTTCTCCTTTTCTTTTTCCTGCTGTGAAAATGCAAAGGTGGCTGTGTTCTCATTAAAGGCTTTTAGCATTCAAGGGTGCAGACTGACCTCCTAGTCTAACAAGACTGAGGTGTGTTTTCTTACCTTTGCTTTCCTTTCCTCTTGATTAGTTTCCCCAACCATAGGGTTTTTTTTTAGTAAGGTTCAGCTAGATGTCTGTGTGCTTTTGTAGCTGGTAGGTTGGGCTAGATATAGTTCATTGGTCTAATTATGATAGTAATTAGTATAATTGATAAGTACTTTTCACCTGTAGGAATGGTGTGAAAACTGTTTTAGGCCCTCCAGGCTGTCTCAGCATTTAATTTACAATACTGTAAAAAAAATCCTGTTTTTTTATATACATACATATCTACAGTATATTTAAAAAAATTCATATATATATATATATATATATATATATATATATATGCTTTCTTTTACTTTCTAAATATTGCAACTCGGTCTGATCTGCAAACTAAAATCCTCCCAACAATTATTTTAAGTATGACTTGGGAGTGATAAACACTATAATATCTTCCAGCCTATAGATTGTTGTATTACACTGAACAGGTAATGTTCAGCCTTCACAAACCTTTAAGAATAGCACTTCCAGTCTCTATGAGGTGGCATATGCATATTTTTAAATGAACATAAACCTGGGTTCCATGCTTAACTTGATTGATAAATTAACCCATAAATTACTCAAAAAACGGTTGGGTTCACACAACACCCAATGCCATAAAAAAACTAATGAAGGTTAAAGCTAACAAAACTTTGCTGACCCTCTTTAAATGTGTCATAAACATACAAATTTATTCCTCATATACATCCACAGGTATGGACCTGTGCAAAGAACAGAGAGCCTGTTGTCTGCAGCCTTCCTGACTGGAGATTAAACCTGTTTAGGAACCGATCAGGGTTTAGTTGCGAGGCGTGAGGTTGGCCCCTGGGAAATTGCTTTCCTATCTATTACTCTGGTGTTTAATTTCTGGCTAAGAAGGGCATCGTCTTTGAGACGTCTGGCACCAATTCTGCTGAGACCCAGACCCAAAGGACAAAAGTGGCAGCTAACAAACCTCTCCAGGTTCCAGTATATCAAGATCTGTGCAGCTCTACCCCACTGAGGAAGGAGGGGAGGCTCCGAGGGGCACAGGGGGAAGCCTTGCCATACTTTTTGTTATTTTTAACCCCTGGAGGATACTCGTTTTCCCCTCTCCTGTACTCCTATTTGATACTTTCCTCCGGCAATCCGGCTTGTTCCCACCTTCCCTAACGTTCAAGATGCCCTCCGGTTAGAGGATTTGGAGCCTCTCGCCACCCATCATTTGCATGTGTTTAGCCCTCCAATTGCCCTTTCTCCCTTGGCATTTGTCGGCCCTTCCCTCCCTCCCTCTCCTTCCCCTCCCCCGCCATTCTCAGCTATTAAAGCGGGCAAGAGAGGGTAGCCCGCCCGCGGGAGGAGGAGGGGGAGGGGAGGGAGAAGGGGGAGGAGGCTGCGGTGGCCGGATCATGTCTTTATTGATTGTTATGCAAATGGGTTGCAATGACTGATGTACGCCTCTTCTCTGCGTGTCTTGTGGATCTTTTTTTAACCGAACCAAAACAAAAGCACACAAACGCAGCGGGATCCCCGCCCTCTCCCCAGCCTTCCTCCTCCTCCTCCCACCACCCTCCGCCTCCCCCCCCCCAACTCTTTGGCGTAGACCTTTTCCGAAATGACTCTCTTTATTTCCAGTGGCGACGGTGCCCGGGCTTGAGAATGCCAAGGAAGAGCCGGCTGCCTGAGACTTCGCCGTCTGGAGAGATGCCCCCGCAAGAGGATTAGAGGATATCGCTTCCCCCCCTTCCCTTCCCCTCCCTTCGACCCCTCCGGCCACCCAGCCCCCGTCTCCGCCCCCCCGACGGCTCCAGTGGCCCTCCTCCCGGCCCTGCCCTTCCCTCCCCTGGCCCTCCCCGGACCCCCCTTCCTCTCCTCCTCCTCCTCCTCCTTCCCTCCCACCCTGTTGCCCCAAGCCCACCCGCACCCCTTGGGCACCATGAACACCAACGTGTGCGTGGAGACGGGGCCCAACCCGGAGGCGCCGGGGCTGCCCAAGGAGAACCACCTGCCCGACGGCGCCCTCAACAGCCTTGTGGATTACAACTCGGAGATGGAGCGCTACCGCTCCTTCGCCACCTTCTACAAGACCAACGGCGGGGCCTTCCCTCAGGCGGCCAAGATCGCGCGCATCACCACCCCCATTTTTCCCACCGCCGCCGCCGCCGCCGCCGCACGCATCGGCATGTCCCCCTGGAACTGCGACACGGCCACGGCGGCCGCCGCCACCGCCATGCTGTGGGGCAGCGGCGCAGGAGGCGGGGGCGCAGGCGTCGGCGGGCCTAACCCGGCGGCCGCCGCGGCAGGCGGCGTGGCCCGGAAAGCAGCTGCCGTCGCCGCCGCCGCCGCCGCCTCGTCGGTCGCCGCGCCGCCGCCGCCGTCGGCTTCCTCGCCCGCCTCTTCTCTGCACGCCGCCGGCAGGAGCGGCGGCGGCGGCGGCGGGAGTTTGCACCATCGGAACGAGTCCCAGCGGCTCGGCAAGCCTGGCTGCGCGCCAGCCGAGCAGCCCTCGTTGCAAATGGCCAATAATAATTTCCTCTCCACCTTAGCCCCGGAACACTGCAGACCTTTGGCTGGGGACTGCATGAACAAGCTCAAATGCGGCGCCGCTGAAGCAGAGATAATGAATCTCCCCGAGCGCGTGGGGACTTTTTCCGCTATCCCGGCTTTAGGGGGCATCTCATTACCTCCCGGGGTCATCGTCATGACAGCCCTGCACTCCCCCGCAGCAGCCTCGGCAGCCGTCACAGACAGCGCGTTTCAAATTGCCAATCTGGCAGACTGCCCGCAGAGCCATTCCTCCGCCTCTTCGTCGTCCTCCTCCTTGGGAGCCGCCGGAGGAGGGGGAGGAGGCGGGGGTGGTGGTGGAGGAGGAGGAGGGGGCGGCAGCGGCGGCGCGGGAGGAGGAGGAGGGGGCGGCGGCAACCCAGCCAAGAAGAAGAGGAAAAGGTGTGGGGTCTGCGTGCCCTGCAAGAGGCTCATCAACTGTGGAGTCTGCAGCAGTTGCAGGAACCGCAAAACGGGACACCAGATCTGCAAATTTAGGAAATGTGAAGAGCTAAAGAAAAAACCTGGCACTTCGCTAGAGGTCAGAGGAGATGATTTCTTTCTTCCCAGCCTCCCGCCGTCCCTCGTGAACCCCCTTCCCCCACCTCTTCAGTGCTTCTTGTCTAGTTTCAAGATGCAGCATCCCTTTTCCGAAGCCTCCTTCAGGTTGTGAAGAGGGGGGGGCAGCCTTCCCTCCTCGCCCCCCCTCCCCCACTTGGTTGCCTCTCCGTAGTACTGTGCACAAAACATAGCCACACGTCCTCAGCCTTGGGGGTTGGGGGGGGGGAGGAATGGGGGTTGGATTTGGACTGCTCTGGACCCCGGTTTTGGAGGAAGGGGGAGTGAGGAGGCCGGCCCTCTGCAATAAAAACCTGGCCGGGGCCTTGGGGCGTTTTGTTTGGGTTTTTTTTCGACAGGCAGGAATATCCGGAAAGTTGGTCTAAATGGGATTTGGAAAGGAAAAAAAAAATGCCACGAAATCGCTCAATTCCCGAGGGGATTTTTTCCCCCCATCCTTTATAATCATTACACGAAGATTTCTTCTACTCTTTCTCTTTTTTTTTAAATACACATTCCCAAGTTGTATATTACAAGTAAATCGATTGGAATCTATGGTCTATATTTTTATCTGTTACTTCAAGGTGTGTTGTTTGGTGACATGTAAATTATTTTTACTTAATGTGAAAGTAATGGTGAAGGGCATTTTTTTTTTAAAAAAAGAAAGTCCAAACGCTTTAGTAGTCATGAAACTTTTTAAGTTCTAAAATAACTTTGGCAGTATAGTGGATCCTTTCCTTCCTTATTTGCTGTGTAGATTTTGCTCTGTTTGAAAATTAGGGAGTTTACTTTTCTAAAGCTGATTCCACATCTTAAAATGGTCCTACATTCATCTAAAATGAAGAACTAGGTAATTTGGGGGTTGTTTTTTGATAATTTATTACAAGAAAACAATTGGTGAAGAAGTTAGCCAAGCATACCAAAAGTAATACTTTGGATATGATACATCCTTACCAAAAATAGCCCTTTGTAGTATATTTTACAATCTGATAAAGAATATGAGTATTTGTGCTTGAAATGTATATGCATTTATTTTTTAAAAACTCAGAATTGACAATGTATCATAGACCAGAAAAGGTCTTCAAGTTTAGTAGACTTTAAAAAAGTAAAAGGGATATTCTGGATTTTCAGTTCATGTATTTAGTTTAGCAGTCAAAGAAAAAAAAACATGTAAAATGATTAATAGCATTATTTTTAGATGGAAGAAAAGAGAGGAAAGACTTGTAATGATTTAAACCTTGTGATTATTAAAACTATAGTATTACCAGGTAGATGAATCTATCAGATGAGTGTGTTTGATTTGAGAAATAAAGTTCTTTATGGAACTTTAAGATGTAAGCTGAAATTAGCAACTCAGAGTTGCAGCTGTCATTAACAGGAGTTAACTTATACATGGATTTTTTAAAAAATTGTGTTAAAGTTACTACTAAGTTTAGCATTTCATTTAGAAAAAATAGGGAGGGAAAGGAAAGCACTTGAGTGATACTATTTTTTCTTCTTCCCTTGCAAAATTGAACTATCCTTTTGGAAAGTTTAATGACTTATTCCTCATATATTTTCCATAGCTGCTTATTGTGCATATATGCTAATCCAATATCACATTGATGCAACAGTCTCTACAGACTATATTTCAGCTGGTAAAAATCAGTTATATATAAATGTACCTGTTATTTTTGGTTGCAAACACTCCTGTTTATTTCATAGAACATTACCAAGAATGTATATTGTGATTTTTACAATAAACAGTAAATGCTGAATTTGAACACTAAACCATAACTAAAAATGATAACTTTTTTCTGTTCCTGGGTGCATTAAGTGTACTCTCTTGCACAGTTTTCCAATACTCCTCTTTAAAAACCAATCTTGATTTTGCTAATTAGTTATAAGCAAGGAAAGACTGCAGTTCTCAGTATGTTTACCAGGGATATATTTCTTAAAAATACCAAGGTATACTTGAAAACTAATTGGATAGGATAAAGCTGACTGCCCTATTCAGTCTAACAAAATGGTATCTTGTGTTGCTTTAAACAGATATCCCACCTTTGCACAGAAGTAAATCACACTAGAACTGTTTTTATGACTGCACTGCTAACTAGCCAAGCATATTTTAGATTAACTGATTGCATGAACTAAGGCTATATGGTTAGTTTATAGTTCAGTTTATTATACAAATCCAGACAATGAGATTAAGTCATTAAATCATAACTTAATTTACTGTGGATTAGTGTCTTATACAAAGTGTTTACTTTCAAGCAAGTTAGTGCCAGATTTCAACCTTAGCAGTTAACTGGATAATTTCTGAGCAAATGGCATGTTTCTAAGCTTGTATTTGCTGAGAATCTTAAAATTCAGGAGAGGAAAAAATATTTACCAAAGAAAACTTCCTTCATCAACTTCTTCCAAATATTGTCCTTCTGTCCATTTAAGGGAAAACTAGCATTAGTAGGAAGTCTGTAGAGATTCTTAGTCATCCAGGTCATGGTTATCCCAATGATGTTTTTTCAGGAGGCAACTTGGACTTTCGTCCAAGAAGTGAAACATCTTCAAAAGAAAAAACAAGAAAGTCCAGTTGCCTCCTGAAAAAGCATCTTTGGGATAACATTAGCAGCAAAATTAGAAGAAAAAGTTGAACCTTCTCATAGTTCTCTGCATGCGTGCCTTTGATTTCTGCAAGGGTATCACAAAGGAAAGTTGTGGCTGAGATGCTATGTTAGCCTTAGATCATCTGTTTCCATCCTCCACTGCAGCCTATAGATTGATGGAGTTGATAAGCTTTTGTCTGATGCGATATGGCTCCTATATCCTTAAGAATTTTGGATTGAGTTCAAAGTTCATTTTCATCAGTGCATCTGTCTTAACATTTACAGCCCTATCTGAAACATTTACAGCCCTATCCGAAACAAATACTAAAATCCTGTTGACTTCCACTCTTTTTCTCAAAAAGTAAGTTAGACTCATAGCTGTAAAGTGCAATGATTAAATAATGGTTGATAATGAACATACAGACACTGCCCTGTCAATAAACGGGTGAAGGGGTGGGAAAGAGATATATGTAAGAGAAAATAGCATTCATGAATGAGTCTGTAAGCACATTTTTCCTGACAAAGAAGTTCTGCATCTTTAAACGTTTCCTGGACGTGTGTATGAGATAATTGCGCCACAGTTGTGGCCAGCAAAATACATATCACTACAGTTGAAAACATCCTCACTTTTTAGTTACTTGTTTCTTTGTTGTATACAAGCACATGTGCAGGTATATATATATATATAGATAGGTAATTCATGTAACGTAGCATCACAAAATAGCAACTTCAGTTTTAGTATACATTAATGTGCTGTGTAGAGACAGTCTACAGCTAGCTCAACATCTTGTGTGAACCTCCAAAACTGAATCTATTAAGTCAGCTATGGTTTATTTAAACGTGGGGAACTATGTTGCAGAAACACAATCCTGAGCTGCAGTTTCCCAATTTTGAAAAACAAATCTCTGCAGATTTCAATCTATTTCAGTCTAAATAACGGCAGTCATTTTCAAATTAGAAAGAAGTCCAAATTTAGCCATTGTCTGTTGAAATTAGAATTTTCCACTTACTGTTTCTTTTCTTTTTGTCCCACTACCCATTTTTATTGAGCGGTAAAGACAGAGCACAATTGTCCAAGACACATAAAGAACTATACCTCCAATATTAAAACAATAAATTGGAAGCCTGTCGAAAGTTGGCAGAGCATATATGACTAAACTGATGCTTCCCTTGTTTCAGACAGGAAGAGAAAGTTGGAGTGACTTGGTGTCTCTGTCCACAGGTAGCCTGGTAACAAGTCATCGCAGTCTAGAGGGGCTCCTGATTTGAACAAATTCAGAACCAGAACCAGTTCTCTTTCTGTTTACAAATATGAACATTTTCCTAAAAAAAGAGTAAAAGCAATTCTTACTCAGGATAGTCCTTTACTTAACAACAGTTCATTTAGTGACTGTTTGAAGTTACAATGGCAATGGAAAAATGGATTGTATGACAGTTTTTCACACGACCATTGCAGCGTCTCCATGGTCATGTGATCAAAATTGAATATGGCAACTGACTCACATTTATGATGGTTCTGGTGGCCCAGGGTCAAGTAATCACCTTTTGCAACCTTATAACAAGCACAAGTCAATGGGGAAGCCAGATTCACTTAACAACCATGTTACTAACTTAACAACTGCAATGATTCACTTAACTGTGGCAAGAAAGTTTATAAGATGGGGCAAAATTCACTTAACAACCATCTCATTTAGCAACATAAATTTTGGGCTCAATTGGAGTTGTACGTTGAGGACTACTTGTAGTCACATGCCAACAAAAATCAGCTACTTGACGTCTGAATTACATTTGAATGAAATGTTGCTTGCATCCTAGCTTTTTAAAAAATAACACTCCTTTTTTCTTATGTGAAAGCTCACCCAAAGAACACTTTGATCGCTTGGTTTTTTCCATAAAAAAAGGCATTCTATAACAATATAAAATGTCCATGCATGCAAGCAATACTAGTAAATATACAAACTAAAGATGGATGTCACACACAGCTCTATGCATTCACACCCATCCACAGCATTCATTTAGTTATGGTATGTTTAAAAAAGCATAATCATTATTTATCCAGGGAGAGTACTTATTTTTTCCCCATTAGTGTACATTAATATAATTCCTTCTGTAAATTATAGACTGAAGGGCATGGCTCACTATCGCCTCTTTCATGCAGTGAAAAACCAAAGGGGATTTTGCATAACATCCATCTTCATGCTTTTTGCTTCCCAAACCTGCTTCTATGGAGCAGAGAAAGGCAATCCAGGCTTGGTTTTAAATATTTCAAAACTGATCTCTGGAACTAAACACTGTCTTCCTGTTGAGCTTCTATATTAAATATAGCTTAACTGTCCTACTCTTTAGTTTCCCTTTCATTGGACCTCATTACTGTTATTAAGGCCTTCACCATGACCAAATA